GATAAAGAGTGTAAAACATTTTTTCTTGCTTAAAATTACCATAAAAGGAAAATTTTTAACAAAACGGACGCGATCAGAAGAGAGTTTTTTTTAAATTAATTTAATATATTGTATAAAAACAAATTATAATTCAAATAATCAAAATTAAAACATAATAAGAACAAGATTAATAACAAAATAAGTTAAGATTTAAAATTATATAAACTAAGTAATATTAATAAGAAACCTTAACAATATTATATTAAAATAAAATTTTTATTAATATAAAAACAAAAGATTTTATCAAAAAATTGTATTAAAAAAATATTTGAATAAAATAAATCAATTAAAATTAAATATGTAAAAAATAAGATTTCTAATAGTATCATTTCAGTACCAAGTTGGTACTGGATTTACTATGAGTTTAATATAGTAGGTCACAATTCATATATTAACTTTATTATAAGTTGATACTATTTTGGTACTTGGTTTAGAACCTTAGTAAAAAATAATTTAAAGAAATAAATAACTATAAATATTTTGATTAAAAAAGCTTTTAGAAAATAAATAAAGTAAAAAAAAGTTTTAAAAATATTAATAAAATAAGTTAAAAAGAAAATTTTTTAAATAAACAAAGAAATATATATAACAAACTTTAAATTTTAGATAATATAAACAAATAATTTCTTAAAAAGTTAAAAAATTATTTATTTATTTATATTATAATAAAAAAATTGAAAAGAAGTTTGAAACAAAGTTTAAGATTAAATACTTAATAAATAATTAAAGAATATTTTTTAAAAAAAAACTTAAACTTATAAATCAATATTTAAATATTAATTATTATTATTATAGAATTAATTATTATTATTAAATTTGATTTTTTGTCTAAACTATTGATTGTAATAAATATTTTTTTACAAAAATTTAAATTAAATTTTTTATTTACATATTTTATAAATAATTATTTAAACCATGCAAAGCTATATTATTATTCTTCTTTTTATAGCAATTATTATAAAAAAAGGTCAAAAAATTAAAAATTAAAATTATTAACAATCATTTTGACTAGTTTTAATTTATGCTTTTATAAATACTTCATATATTCTTTAATATTTTATTTATTACTAAACTTAAAATTTTTTTAAATATATTGATTAATAAACAAGTTAAAATATTATATATTTAAAAAAAAACATCATTATAAATTTGATTAAAACATATAAATTTATGTTCAATATATAGAAATTTTTATTGATTATAAGTTTAACCAAATTAATTTTCTTTTATAAATTCAATTATACTAATCAATTTATATAAATAAGTTGATATGTTAAATAAAATTTATTAAAATAAAAATTTCTGTTATTGGTTTTAAACTAATTCATTTAAAATCCAAAATTCAATTAATTTGTTTATAAAAAAATTGCATAATCAATTATTTCTTGACAAGTGAATTTAGAAATATTTTGCTTATCTTTTTTTTTGTATTGATTAAGATATTTATATTTTTAAAATTTGTTAATTGTATAGAATTTCTAAGAACAATTAAATCATAAACCTTTTTTATATAGTTTGTTTGATTTTCTAATTGTTGAAAAGTTAAAAGATTCATCCTTATATAATATAATTTTTAATTTTAATTTAATTAATTGAATATAACATAAATTAAAATTAATCAACTAATTATTAAAGTGACAAATTTTGAGAACCAGATACATTCAAACCCCAAATTTTTTAATAATTTATAGAGCATTGTTGTTATATTATAGATTCATGGATTTTTACATATGAATTATGTAGATATTTTTTAATTAGTATTTATAATTTAATTATCTGTAAACACGAAAAAAAAATATTATTTGACAATAACATGTTACAATATGTGTATGATTGTGATTACATTATTTTCAAGTAAAGTTTTTATTAGAAAAAAATCACGATAAACGATATTTACGATATTGGCGTTTTAAACGGTTAAAATTTAAACAATGAAATGAATAAACAATAAATAAAATCATTACAGTTTACTTTTCGAGTCTATAATATACCATATAAGGGAAAGGGATTGTAACATGTAAAAAAATATTTGTAGTGCAAATAAATTATTTAATAAAATTGTTTATATTATATATATATATATACTGTATATCTAAGAAAAATTGAAATCATCAATCAATAATTAATTTAAGTTTTACTAAAAGACAATAGTAAATATTAAGGTTTCTTTTACGCCAATTTTTAAGCGCTCACGTGATAGCAATACGACGATTTCGACTATTTTATAAACAATATTTCGATTGTTATGTTTCATGTATAATTTCCGCCGCTAGTCTTCGACAACAGCGAGTAAATTAACTCGCAAGTTTATCGAGAGACGCGTTTACCTTACTGACGTATTAAATACAAAGAAGCGAATACTTCCACTCTATCTTGTTATGATTGTTAATAAGAAGAAAGACTAGTTTCTTTCGCTCTCCGCGCTTAAAAGTCACGTTATATAAACAGCTATGACTATATAACATAAATTAATATCAAGTCAGAGTCATTTGTTCTTTTCGTTGACATGCTATTTTATCATAGTTTGACAACTATGATTACCATTCATCTCGCAATTTGATACAAAACTTTGAACTTTATCATAAACATGTAAGAGAGGAAAATCGAATCAGCACAAGTAAAATATGAAGTTATTCAATATATACATACTATTCACGTTATACTCGCGTCAATATATATTATGTAATCACGCAATGTCAAAACATTCTCTTTTCGGTTTAGCACGAATTGACTCTATACACTCACATCTTGACTAATGCGTATTACGTATCGTATTACGTATCACCACTACTGTGAATCAGTCAAAATTTTGATAAAAATTTCATTGGACGAAACTTAGTTTTATTAATCTTCAGGTGTAACGTAATACAGGTGTAAATACTGTACGTGAACGCCATTTCGTCAAAACTGTTTATCTTCTTAACTGCACTACACTTCATTCAAAAATCAGATTTTTTTTCGTGTGGGTTTGAAAATAATTTTCTTGTTTCATAGTTGTGTCTTTCTTTGACAGTTAAAAACAACGCGAAAAACCACTTTAAAACGCTTGAATACATTGTTGCAAGTATTTTGACTTTCCAAAAATCGATTATCTTGAGACATGATGGCTAATATGTTCTCCTTTTTTTATTTATCATTGCTAGATTTTTTGAAATATGACGAAGAAAAGAAAAAATAACTCTGCCTCGGTATGGGAGGCGACAGCTATCTTGAAAGAGAGATATGACAAGGAAAAGGAACGTTTATGTTATCTGGTACAATGGGCTGGCGAAGATGAACATGGAAATAAATGGAATCCAACTTGGGTATAGTTTATATTAAAAAAAAAAAACTAATGAACAACGTGATTTGTTATTTTCGATTAACATAAGATTAAAATAGATTTGTTGTTTGTAGGAGCCCGATGTAAATTGCGGTTCTGCTTTAATTGACGAATGGAACGAGAGAAAAAAAAGAAATGCTATTGGGTCAGGTAACAGTCAAGAAGAAAGTACCATGGATTTGGGTTACCGGAAAAATGAGAGCACACCAATGTTGCCAACGAGTACAAAAGCACGAAGCGCTATTCTTTACAGTTCGCCAGTTGAACCAACAAATAAAAAATCATTAATTAACGGCTCACCAACCGAAAATTTGCGGAACGTTAACGAAAAAAAAAAAACACTTGACGAGCCATTACTTGTTGACGCTACGTGTATTAATACCGACTCTAAATTCCAGGATAGTGATGTTAAGTCAGGAAGTTGCTCTATATCTGATGCACTTCTGGAAAATGGTCAAAGTCAGAAGAACATTACGAATAGTAAAGGCATTCAAAGAAGGAAAAGTGATCAAAGTACAAAAAGTATCACCAGAACTAATTCGTCTTCATCCTCAAAATCATATGTGCGCAATAATTCATCACCAAAAAGTCTTGGCAAAAGGCCTGCTCTTTCAACTGGAAGGGCTGTTACCATTTTTAAAGGAGCACCTCATAAAGAAAAATATTCGGTTCGCAATTTGGATCGAAAGCTCGGTAACAGAAGTGATACGGCCACAGATAGTTCTGAACGCAATGTAACCAAGTCACCAATGCTAGGCGTTGAATACTCGGATAAGTCTAACTTAAATGGTAATGGTTCCCAGCAGTTTTTCAAGCTTACACTTCCGTCACGATCTGGTCGATTATTTATCGCTAAACAGATAAGTCCGCAGATCAATCGAACAATACCAAATAAGAGAAGTAAGTCTGCACATACTCCTACTAATACTGACGTAGACGAGAAACTAGCGTCACATAAAAAACCACGTTATGAAGAATCGCTTTTCAGCGAAGAGGAGGAAACTATAATTTCCGGACAAGTTCTCACGGTCAATCAGGTTAGACTTCCAATAGAAGGTGATAATGTTATAGTGACCAGGACTTTACATAATCCATCACCAAATAGCACACCTTCACCCATAAATGTCATAAACGATCCTAAAGTATCAATACAAAAATCCCCTGATGCAAGTACAATGATTCCGCTCGTTCGTGAAACTAGCGACTCCCAGTCTCCTAAGCTGCCTTCTAATTCATCTTCACAACACAGAGCAAGTATCATGGAGATTGTTACAAGAAATGTTAAAGCTTCCTCTTCGAGCAGCTTAAAACAAATACAATCTCCCGTAACACCAAAAAGTAGCGTGGATGAGTCAGAATTTTATTTGTCGAATCGTCCCTTGAATAAATTAGATGGAAAATTTAAAAATGATTCATCAAATCTTCTTAAAAAATCTAAATTTGATGGTTCTAATTCGACTCAGCTTTACGCCGGGAAAAAACTTCCGCCTTTATCGAGCGGCAGGGATGGAATGTCTACTTCGGATTCACGTACATCACAGAAGAAATCTGCGAATACTAATAATGCAGATTCGGACGATAATGAAGAAGAGGGCTATATTATATCATCACGGTTGGTACCATCAAACTCAATTGAACCAGCAGTTCACAATCTTTCGCACACAAGCAAAATAAGTAATGGACAAAATGAGGTGACACCTATACGAAAACCAGTAAGCAATGGACAAAATGAGGTGACCCCTATACGAAAACAAGTGAGTAATGGACCAGGCGAGATGACACCTATGCGAAAACCAGTGAATAATGGACAAAATGAGGTGACACCTATACGAAAACCAGTAGGTAATGGACAAAATGAGGTGACACCTACAAGAAAACCAGTAAGTATGCTCATGCATCAATATTCATTTAATATCTTACTGTGCATTTGCTTATTATATGCTTAATGTGAAGGTTACTCCCGATGACCAAGGTATGACAGAGGAAATCGAGAAGCTACGGAAGGAGATTTCCAAAAACAAGGAAGAACTAAAAACCACGAAAAAGAATTTAATCAAAGTTCAAGAAGAATTAGAGAAATATAAGAGACAAGACAAAAAACAGCAAAATGATCAAAAAAATGCTAGTAAAAAAGTGGATGTGTTGAATCGAAGCCCTAACTCACGAGATTGTGCACAGAATGTTGATATTGCATGTCATGGTTTCACAGATTTCTCTGCACTGAGGGAATATATTATCAGAGCATTTGTTCGCATAGAGGAGATAAGCTCGAAATTTGATGCATTGAGAAACGAGTCAGACAATGAGATGAGAGTTTCATCTCGTGAAACAAGTTCTAGTATTAAAAGGGAAAGGTTGAGACGAATCATCTTAGAGAAAGAATTGGAATTAGTGAAGGAAACATCCATGATTTCGAAGGATACCATCAAATTTTTGTCCGAGTTGAGCTTTTCGATGGGACTATCACTTGGAAATTCTAATAACTCTATCAATGGCATTCGCGCAAATAGCGAAGATAGAGTTAATACAGGTACAAGCAATAATCAGCGGCGCAGAGAAAATAACGGCAGAAATTCGATTAGTCTTGACAATGCGTCTGTGAATGGTCATAATTCGCAGAATGTTAATAATATTCCTGCAGCCGATAACGTTGTTCGATCCAAAACGACGGGTACTCGGAAACATAAAGACGTACATGGTAGCAACTTTGTTACTGTTTCTGACGATGACTATATTATCCTGCCAAAACATCCGGTTTCCGATACGTCGCCATCATCCTCAAGTGCTTCTTCCAATACATCACCTAACAATTCTATGTCTAAAAGCCCGAGTAATAGTGGTGCACGTCGTAAATTTACTGCTATTAGTGGGTTCCCCTCTACAACGTCCATCTCCGACAGTAATCCAAATGGAAACAAGCATACCACCACAAAGATTACCTCAATCTCGCCTATTACTGATCCATCATCGAGCAAAACTTTGTCTCTAATCGGACAGGCGGACCGGTCACTCCAAAACAACGCTACCACGAGTTCGAATTTAGGAATGGAGCACGTATCTCGTACGAATTCGTGCACGCGCTCACAATATTTTTGTGATTGGAATTTTTGCAACCAATCGTTTGAATCAAAATCAAGCTTGAGGTTACATATAATCGATGCACATTTTGAAGAAGGTGCAATTAAAATCTTGAAACCTCACGTCCCGGAATTAAATGGATGATTTTACATGTAGTAGTCGATTATTGTGGAATGTTGAAAAGTAGGGGAATTTCTATGTAGTAATGGAAAAAACGATTATAAAATTCTAATCGTAAATGCAATAACCGATATGAAGGTTTAATGATTATAAGCTTATATGTTTCGTATCACAAACATTCTACGGATGGGTACGGTATATAGAACCAGGAAAAAAGTCTGTTCTAGATGGTCCCGGGTTTATTTGTATAGAATAGATGTCGGTATTTGTAAATGGGAAGTTTGATCATAAAAAAATTTTCATGTTCCGCGCCTGTGTTATAAAATGCGACTAGTGTATCTCTAGTAACGTGTTCATCCAATTAAAATAGGATCTAGAATAATTGTCTTCCAAGGAGGAACGGATGATGGTCATACGACGCGAATATAACCTCTATGATCGGAATATTAGTCCTTGGAATTATGCATTCATTGTTTACAGCAGAATTAACAGTTGATTGCATAATATTCGTTGTGTTCTTAACGCGATATCAGGGTTTGTGTGATACTCAAGTAGCTCTATTAAAACCTATGGAAGTTAGAAATCTCGACGTTCGGCTACGTTATTATACTTTGCACAGAGTTTGAAAGTTTGCCAGAGTATAATCAAAATGACACCGCGTTTAAAAAAAAGAATAAAATTTTTTTTATAAAGTTCTTGTTATGACGTAAACCCGCAGGATTTCATATTCGGAAATTGGTGAGCTTTGAACAAAAAAATCGACGATTAGATTATCTAATCGTTAGTGGTCGCAACATTTAGACGACACACGAGATTTCTTCATTGACTTTCACGTTTGATAATGAAATCATATACTGCACAACGGTTCTAATACGACGTATTTTATTTGAATATTTGATTGTTTTGTTACATTTATTCAAGAAGTCAAGTTTTTAAAGAAAGTATATTATTCGTCTCGAGCCAAACTAGTGATACGCCATCTATTGTTATGTTCGTCGTTGTTGAACTGCATAATCCGAAAGCAACCTTTCCTAATCTGAAACTATACAAAAAAAAGTGATTTATTATGTACTGTACAGTATATCGCATTGGATTTTACCTGCATTAGAAAAAGTAATTTCAAAAAACCAAGACATAATGAAAGATTGTGATAATACTGTAATACTGTAGGTAAAGAACATTTTTTTTCATGGCATACTTACTAAAAATATCTGAAATTGCTCTTTTTTTTTGCTAAAAAAATTCTATTTGGACTGTGATTTACAAGAACGTGCGTGATTTGATTTCATTTGATTTGATTTGATTTTTTGCTGTCATAATTTAATCAATTAATCATAGTATCGTTATTTTTAAGGAAAGAAAACGTTATTTCCCACATCAAAGTATTTAAAAATTATTTGAATAATTTTATTCTTCTCTTTTAAAATAATCAGGTCAAAATACGTATAATGACAAATCACGTGTATGATAAAAAAGGTAGATTTTTTTATCGCGTAAATTTTAAACCAAGTATTTGCGACTTACATATTAGCTTGATTACATATCATTATTACCAATGCAACATCAGTACCGTTATTTTATTTATTTATTTAGTTTAGTTACGGACGATGTTATCATTATACTGTATTCGGATATGCGCATGCACTGTAATCGTGCCATTCCATATTTTGGAACTTGGTTCGTTATGTTCGTTGGATATTTATCACCACACGCATGTTCTGATGGGGAACGATAAACTTACTATTCTTCTTTATCATCTTGATCTTGATAAACTTTAGCCGTGGCATTTAAATTTTTGTATATGACCGGAACATTCGATTCAATTGAAAGGTGCAATGTCCATGGCCTTTTCGAATAGTCAATGATGCCATTGTTGGTTAGGAACATTATGTTGACAGCAGGATAAAATGAGGTCATTGCATTGCGTACTGGTATTATTATTTATTGAAAGTCGGATTACAGTAAAAAATTTTATCGTGCATTATGACTTACCATAATCCGATACTGATTTATTAATTGATACTGATGATGCTTTAACCAATCTGTAATAACGGGAAAAGTATACAATATTTTTTACGATTAATCTTCTTTAACATAACGTTAAAGAAATCATTACGTCATACTGATCACATTAGATTGGCGCCGAAGGATGGATTGCTATTTTCGAGCTAAAGGGCCCGCCTTCATACGGTAATAACCCTCCTTCCTTTGAGTGTATCCTGTAAATATATTGATAACATATAAAAAAATAATAAATAATGAAAGTGCCAGTTTCAACAATAATATCCTTATTATTAGTCTCCGGATTCATAATAGCCACGATTATTTCGATTTTGAATTTGCATAAAAAGAATTGGTTAAATTTTAATATTGTCGCATTCGGCGATTCTCTAACGGACAATGGTAATTTATGGAAGATGAGCAATGGCACAATCCCATCGGAAAAAATTTACTTTCAAGGTAAACCAATGTTTGGTAAAGTAAAAGAAAGAAAGAAGTATATACGTAGTACAAACTATTACATCTACCAATAGGGCGATGGACAAATGGTTTTGTATGGGTGGAACTTGTTGAATCAAGATTAGGTGCAAAGTTGACAGATTGTGCTTTTGGAGGTGCTTTGACAGACAAAAGCCTTAATGGCTCGAAATCCGAAAAGCTATTGTCCATTTATTCGGTTCCTTCGGTTAAAGAACAAGGTAAACACGACATGACATGGTACGTTGTATAATAATGTTATCATTAATCTTATTATTGATGTTTCAGTGGAAGGAATATTACCAAACATAACTAAATTTCCCCCTCAAACGACTTTCACATTTTGGTCTGGAAGTAATGATTACATGGTAACTTTTAGTAACACGCATTGTGTTCATTATTATCATTTTTTTAAGTTCAAAATCAATTTGATTATTTGTTTGAATCAGAAAATATTCGAGAACAATCTCACCATCACACCCACAGATATAATAGCGTCAATTCAAAACTCGGTTTCACTCCTTTCATCTTCAGGAGCACGAAGATTTTTATTCCTAAATCTTCCGCCGATTCATCGTATTCCACATTATAAATCTTATAATAACCTCACGCGTTTACAAGACCTCGTTGAAAATCATAATATTCTATTGAATAATACAATATCAAGTATTACCAAGTCTAAAAGAATCCAAGCGGAAGTGTTTGATGTTTGGGGATTCGCGGAACGCGTCCTTAGTGACCCACAGAAATTTGGATTCAAGAATACTGTGGATTCCTGTTTGAATCTGAATAAGCAAGAATCTGTTGGCGGCACCGGGTTAAATAAGGTCACCGGAACAAATGTCGTGAGTTCAATTAAAACTTGTGAGAATCCCGATGAGTATCTGTGGTGGGATGATGTGCATCCAACAACGAAAGCGCACGAATTATTGGCCAAAGAAATTGTAATGTTTCTAAAATCGCTTGCCGGATCTTGTTTGTATTTGGCAAGCTGTGGTTAGAATAGTTGAGAAGAGCTTGACATAATGTGAGCGTTTGCGAGTTGGTTTTAAATTTTTTACAAAAAACTATTTGGTTACACGAATATTAGAAGGACGATGGTCTTATATATAATATTACTAGAAAAAGAGGATGCATATTAGACGAGGGATCAATTTTTAAAAAAATTTAGAAAGCCAGTCCGAATTGCTGTGATTCAGTTCACGATCAAAAGAATAAATCCGAGAATCGTTTTTTCTATCTTTATTTTGAGTCTGATTATTTTGAGTCTTTTCGTTGAAAAAACAGAGTCAATCTTTTTGTATTGAACTATATAATAAATGCTTGATATAATGTAATGAATCAACCATGGTATTTCAATACTTGAATCAGCATATCCTTCTATTCAAAATAGTCAGTCCCAAGTAAGTAATGAATTATACCAACGAATAACGGATATAAAGACTGTGATATTATCGCTGACTTTAAAATTAAGAAATCCCACATTAACACTTTGTAAATTTAAACCTATTATCGCCATTTAAACAAGTTTTTAAATGAATGAATGAAATTAATGGCTTCTTGGTTCCAATAAAATAACAAAATCAACGAATCTCTTAATACAGTATAACAATAATAATAATCGCTACAGACAGAAACAGTATAAATGTTGCTAAACCTATGAAGAAAACCACCAGTAGAAAATTTAAATTTTATTAACACATAATACTATAAAATACTTTTATAAAATAATGACAAATCCATCTTTACAGAATATCTAATGTCTATGTATGTTTAATGTTGCCTATAATTTTTGAAAAATTTCGGTTTGTTATTTTGATTTATCCCAAGTTTTCTTTGTTTTGTTTTTTTTTTATGAAGCGGGCCTTCTACCTGATCGTCCCTGAAACTTCTTTAATGCTACATCCATCAGATAATCAAACTCATTGCTTTCCTTACAAAGACTACGGAAAACACTGTCGGGATTCTGTAGAAGGCTGTAGGGTGTGTCGAACTCGACTATCTTTCCTTGATCTATAATAATGAAACAGAAAATATGATTCAATAATGTATGTTAAATATTGGCGACCAAAGATATTTAAAAAACTTTATTATACCTAGTACTAGCACCTATAGGACGTCGTGATAAAGAGATACAATGAGTAAATCCAAATTAATTATCAAAGATTTGGAATATCCATTTATATTTAAAAATCACCTACCCTATCGTAATCAATTATAGTCCTTAAGCGATGTGCAATACATAATAGTGTCGCCCAGTTGAATTCCGAACGAATGGTTTCTTGTATTTTACCGTCGGTTTCAACGTCAACACTTGCGGTGGCTAAATAATTAGGAATAAAAAATGATGAGAAATCATTTGACAATAACTACAAAAAGAAATTTATTTATTTTACCTTCATCCAAAACTATAACTGGCGATCTCCTACGTGTCCAACCAACATTAAAATATTATATAAACAATCGAATCATTAAATGATAGTGAAGGAAAAAAAATCGTAAATGTGCTATACCGTAATAAAGCCCTGGCCAAACATAATAGTTGCCTTTGTCCTTGACTGAAATTCTCCCCTCCCTCTGATACTTTTGCTTGCAATTTGCCCTCCAACTTGGAAATGTGATTCTTCAAATGCGCACACTGAAGAACCTGCCAAATTTCCACGTCGTCATGGGCTTGGAATGGATCAAGATTGAAGGAAACAGTTCCTATTATACACAAAATGAATTGCATGCGTTAGTTATATGAAAGAAAATTAAGATCTGGTTGATCAGAATAAAAAATTATTAACCTTCGAATAGAACCGGATCCTGAGGGATGACTGTAAGGCGGGAGCGCAAATCATATAGTCCGATTTTTGATATGTCAACGCCATCCTACAATTTAGGTATGTTAAATCTTTGTTGAACACTACCGCGTAATTGTAACCAAAGTCATGTTTTCTTGACTCCTTTTTCTCAATGTAAACTTACCACAATTATATTACCTCTAGCTGCTTCAATTAGTCTAAACAAGCTTAAAGTCAAGCTCGACTTTCCAGCTCCCGTTCTTCCCACAATACCAATTTTCTCTTTGGATTGCACGACAAACGATACATTCTAAAAATGTTTAAAAGTCAATATACCACGAAAACGAATAAACAAATCGAAAAAAACCTCCGTCAGAAGGTCGAATCCCGAATAAAAACCTTTAAAACCAACTCAAGATCAGGTCGATATCGGGTCGAATAATCTTGATATTCAATCATTCCATTTGGTGGCCATGTCGGCGACGGTCGATTGTCGGCAATAACTAACGGAGCTTCGCTTGGTAAGTCAATATACTGTGTAAATTATTAAAAGGTATCTTAGATATATGCATGCGTAATATGACTAATAATAACACCTCAACGAACAAAAAACCTACCTCTTTGACTCGCTCCACGGATATGATGTTAGTCTAATTATGAAAAGAAAAGCGTATAAATAGATGTGGCGCATGTGAAATAATGAAACGTGATCGACGAACCTCAATCTCGCAAAATTGTCGAACAGCCCAATTTAAAGCCTGGGTAACGGACAGTGCATATGAAAGCGATAAACCAACAAGACCAGCATCAACATTGTGAACCGTGACTACGGATAATAGCGATGCGCTAAATATAATCAACGATCCTATGGTTTATTAAAAATATTTGGTTCGATAAGATGCATTAAATTTAAATAACCGAGACTTTTTATAAAAAAAAAAAAAAAATCCGCACCCAAAAATTCCAGCCTCACTGCCAGCCATCTATTACACGAAACCGAAGGATAATAGGCTTTCTGATTTTCATCCAATTTTGCCTCGTTTTCTTCCATGAATCGGTCAGATTGTTGATATGCTCGAATGGTCGTAACACCGCCTAGGGTCTCCTGAAAATGTGCGTAAATTGGTGACCTTGTCAATGAATCCAACCGCTTGAGTTCTCTCGATGTGGACAGATAATATGTTTGAATGTAATTGTATATGAAAACTTTGTGAATAATAGAAA